GCCCACCATCACCCCCATCTCATCCCGCCTCCTGTCAACCCCCCCCCCCCTTTTCTCCCCCTCCCCCCCTCCCCTCCCCTCCCCTCCCTACCTTCTCCTACTTGCATTCTCATCTCGCTCATCTCTAATTTCCTTCCCTTTACGATCTACGTTTGACGTTTCTAGCCGAGTTCACCCCCTTACTCCTCGACGCCTTGCTACACAAGTACAAAATAGAAACTGGGGACAAAGAAACAGGGAAGAATTCAAAATGAAGACTATGACAAGTGTACTTTTCCTCCAATTCCTCCTCACTGCGACAGCTCCTTTTTTTGTGGCGGCTAGCACACCCTACAGATGGCCCGCGGGTGTTGATCCCTCGAAAAAGTACTGGCCGCTCGGTGAAGGGCCTCCATCGAAGCGATGGCTGAACGAGCTTGCCGAAGCGTTCAATTCGAACCAATCTTTTACCCCAGAGTCCATAAGTCGGGCGTTCGCCGTGAAGAAGATTATGGATCCGGCTGAAAAGTTCATGCCCGAGTATTGGAACTGGAGCGGGGGCGGGGAGAACGGGGAAGGGGAAGGACAACAGGTTATGGTAGCGAACTTGACTTTCAATTCGCCGGTTAGGAGGAGCATGTTTGATAGCTATGTGTATAGGGGGCTTTTCAAGAGGCAGAACTTTCAATGCGCTGTTGGAACTCACGCGTGTACTAATATTGGGCGCCCGCAGAGCTGCTGTAACAATAATGAGCAGTGCTTTAAGATTGAGGATACTGGGTTTGGGGACGTAGGGTGCTGTGCTAATGGCATGTTTAGCCCACCCTTTTCTATGGCCCTTTTGAGGTTAGAGGCTAATTTTAGCGGTGCATTGTTATAGGACAAACGTGTTCTGGAAATCTCAAGGGCTGTGGGGATGATAAAAAGGCCTGTTCCAGTCGAGAAGGTGGCGGCTGCTGCACTGAAGGCTATAACTGTTCAGCGCAAGGCTGTGTGTTCCCTAACGCTGTATAGCTCATCCGCTCTCCTTTTTTCTAACAATTCTCAGGTGTTCCCGCAGAAGGACAGGTTGTAAACAGTGCCGGCACAACTACTACGTCACCGACAAACTCGGCATCAGCCTGTTCATCTGGCTTCTACGCTTGCCCTACTAACCTCGCTGGCGGCTGTTGTCCGTCGGGACGCCTTTGCGGTGTGAGTGACTGCCCATCAATGACAACCACCGGGACACCCGTAGCCACCGGCGATACCTGCCCGACAGGATACTACACATGTTCCGCGCAGTTCAACGGAGGCTGTTGCAGAATTGGCCGTGACTGCGGTATAACTAATTGCCCCGAGAGAGCTATTACCATCAGCAGCGGAACATCCCAGGGTGGTGCGCCCGCAGTGACAACCGGGGGCAGGTGTGCGTCTGGTTGGTCGTCTTGTCCTAGCAATCTCGGCGGCGGGTGTTGTCCAACGGGATATACTTGCGCCGTCAACAATTGCCCTGCTGTTACCCTTACTGGGTCTAACTTTATCGTTTCTGGCTCTGTAAGTTCCGCTTTCTCCCTATATCCGCACGTAAGATACTGATAGACGGGCAGACCATGACTGAGCCAGTCGTTCTCCCGGAAACCGGGAAACTCCAGCCCACCGCCGGCATCACCCCTAACGCAGCACGATACGGAAAGAGCATTAATGGCGTACGTGAGGTCGTCGTCGTAGTCGGGGTGGTGGTTGGTGTCGTTGCGAACGTCTGATATCTTTTCTATGATAGGATTTCTACACACCGCACAAAAAAGGTTAGGTCTTTGTACTGTTGCCGTTTGTTTGTTTTGTTTTCTTTGTCGAATTCGGAGTATTCTGGCTTGATTTTGATTCGAATTTTCTGCGAACTGTGATATCCTAGTTCCTTTTTTCTCCTATTGTGTTTTAGCGGGTATCTGGTCGAAACTGTAACGATTACGTCTTTTGGTGGTTATGTGTGATGATATATGGCTGTTTCTTGAGATCAAGTACAAATAGGTAATAGATGATCCGCAGTGTGCTAGTTTGTGCGCGAGTGATTCCCAGTGATTGCAAGCTCATATGCCCTGATTGAAGAGCGCTTTTTAGGAAATTTTTTATTATTTATTTGTTATTTATTAACTCCGTGATTTGTTATAATTTTAATGGGAATATCTACGGGTTAGCGTTTCCGGAGCATACTCCGACACTCTATTCACTCACACTAAGAAGTGAGCAAGAAGCTTTAGATATGCGAGGGATGGCTTTGCATCGCAATCCTCCTGGAAAAAGGTCGCGCCTTCAAGTCTGCCTTCGTCACCCTCTTTAGTCTCTTGGGCGAACTCAAGGTTATCGTGATATCCACCCTCGGATTTAATCGGGCGCTGGACTTGTGCGTGTTGGTGGCGCTCATACTCGTTCTCTCCAGATCGGCAATCCCCATACTCTCCCTCTGCAGATGGATTTACAACCCCCACTCCGGTTTCTAAGTTTTCAGCGAATATGCGAACACCACCTTCAACTTCATCCTCGTCTTCTCCATATTCGAACTCCAGGGACAATCTGACGCCTTCGTCCTCGCTCTGAGGCCCATTGTATAACTTCACTCCCCCATATTCGGTGTCCTGGTCCCCACCCTCGTGCCGTTCAAACAAATTGACGCCCCCTCCTTCCTCATCTTGGCCCTGGGCATCATACTCGTATCCCTTGGGGAGTGTTATACCTTTGTCCGGATTTCCGCAGAGACGGCTCCCTCTCCCGTCCCCGCAGTCTCGGCCACCGCCATCTCGCGCATCGGGAAACTTGATGCCGCCTTCACATCCGCCCTCACCTTCGTGAACATATACGGTGGGTAGCACGGCTCGTCCGCGTCCTTGGTGCTCGTATATATTCTTTGCGAATGGCTCCGTACCTCCACCGCCGTTGGCTGGGTCCCTTTTAAACGCCCGAGCACAGCCTTTGTATATGTCCCCGTATTCCCCGTAATACCTAAATTTCTGGGAAAATCTGACAACCTTGTCCTCGCGGCCAAGTTCGTTGAATGGCTTCACTCCTCCGTCTTTGACCCCCTCGCTTCCCCCGTAGAGGGTAACTCCTCCGTCTTCCCTACCTTGGCCTCCCACCTCGCACTCGCATTTTGAGCCGAATTTGAAGCTATCGTTAGGGTTGTCGTTGCCCAAATTGGCTCCAACTTCTTTGAAGTCTCCCCCATCACCGCTTAGCTTGAAAGACTTGGTGCCTCCTTCCTCACCCACCTGGCCCCTACATGCTTTGAAGGGCCGCACGCTCCCATCTCCTCTACTCTCCACCATAATCTCCAAAGGAAACACCCCTCCAGCATAAACCCCTCTCGCCACCAAAACACCATCATCACTCTCTTCCTCGAGCCCGAACCTGATGTCCTCCAAGCCCTCGGCGGTGCGGCTGAAGTGCCTATTGTTCCGATATTCGGTGAGAGTGCGCTTTTGCTCGATGCCCGCCAGTGCGCGGGTTTCCTGAAGGAGGTAACGGTGGTGGTGGGATGGTAAGGTATGTTCTTCCTTGGTTGAGGGTCGGTGCATTGCTGCTGTGGTCGGTTTAACAGTTGCGGTGAATGTATCTGTTTGGTTTGGATGGTTTGGATAAAGTGTTGTATTCTCGTGGGGATAGTTGGTGGCAGCAGTGAAGAGTGGGGACAGAGAATCTTTCTTATATAGGCTCGGTGTTTGGAGCGTGAGCCGCGTTTGGGGTTCCGGGTTTGAAAAGTGGGGGTGATTTGGGGTTCTATCATAATATTATCATCTTTTTTTTTTTTTTTTTCAAGGTTCACATACTGCAGTGATTTGCGAAATATAAGTTACAAGCTGACTACGTACCTCACCAGGTCAGGAACCACGTTACACGTGAGGCTAGGAGGCTTTCCCTATGCCCGGCACGTATTCCCTTTGGATAGCAATCCAGCAGGTTCTACCATAATATGGCATTAGAGTGTTGACCCGCCATCCTTTACGAATGCCATTCTCAAAGAGACCAGATATCCTGCCAAGGCAGGATCACTCCCCCTAGAACAGTAATAGTAGCAGTCGGGCCGGGTTTCAAGCAACGTTGGAATGGGCGACTTATACTAGTCTATGTAAACCCCGAAGGCTAACACTTTGCGGATCAGTCGCTAGCCTCGGGAATTCTGAGTTGGCCAATGGATTTATTGACATTCGTTGCTGCCGATAGAGTGTTGGCAACACAGCAGATCCAGTGTTTACAGGCGGAGTACTATCCAGCCGCGTGAACAAGGTCGATATAGAGCTAGTATTCTAGAGATATAAAGGCTCTCCGAAGAAGTAGGTTTAGATGACTCGATAGCCTAACACACCTAGGCTCATGTCCCTACACCAATTCCAATTTTGAAGGCAAGGCCTTAGCCAGAACTTACGAAGCTCATCAAGTAATATTGCTCCAGAAGACATACGCGAGGAATCCTTGCCTCCCGAAGTGGTACTAAATCAACCTGAGAAGGATGAAGAAATATTGTGGGGGGGCAATAGCCCAAAAGCAAAGACTCTAGCGGCTCACTTGGGCTTTCCCAGGAATATAGGCCTAGGAGAAAGGATGTATACATACAATGGTCGTAAGCCTTTGGCCCCTATGGCTAATTGGGTGAGGCGCCTGCTCTTGTTTTGTTCTATTTTTTCCCTCTTGTTTTGAATGGGGTTAACTTGTTGTGGCGTTTGTCCCCTCTCTGGACATTGGTTGGGCTCCGCTGCCAAGAGAAATTCCATTGTGAGAAGTGAGAAGTTCAGATGGTGTAGGTTTCAAGTTTGATATTCAATCCAAACGGCGCGAGGTCTCCGAGTGGCTATTCACGACTTATCACTCGAGATTCTGATCTAAGTAGTTTGAGCTAGAGGTTGGCGTAAAAGGTGTGAGACCAAAGATAAGGGAAATCGGAGGAATGTCTGGGATAATATAGAGAGAGTTGTGAGCGGGGTCTTTCAGTCCCTATGTTGATAGGTGGCTAGAGACAGTCCTACGTGTACCAATCAGCGGCGCCTAGGTGGGGTGTATATCGATTTCTAGCCGCCTTCAACAGGATATGTGATACCGAGTAGTACATAAGGAAGCGTGGCTTACCCATCCATGCCTCGCATTATATTGAGTGAGACTTGCGGCAGCTTTCAAAGACCCCCACGCTCTGGAGGCGCATTCATGTGGATAGTATTCTGGAGTGCCCTTTCATAATTTTGGTCGGGGAGTGAAGGATCGGTGGGACTATAGGTGTTAAGCACAGCCTCGAATATACCAATTACAAAGAACGCCTCGCAAAGCTGTCAGAGAGGAGGGAAATACCTGGGGGCCTCAGTAACAGTGCATATCGGAATCACATCAAATATTCACCTTTTTCACGGACCCTTAGATGCCCAAGATTAGCGATAAGAATCCGGAGGAGTTTTGAAAGTCTGGGTTATCCAGAAGGCTCTCAACCTATCCAAGTTACCTTCCTCAGCAAGTTTTTCTTTGGTACTGGTCCCATCTCCAATTCTAATTGTATTGCCAAAATAAATCATGCTAACAAAATTCAATACTACTACAAATCTCTTATCATAGGAGCCTAGCCTTACTAATAAAGGCAGCAAACCTCCATCTTTCTATTCACCATCCCCGCCCTCTCAATCCCGATGGAAACCTTGATGGTAATTAACCTAGAGGCATTTGCACCTCGTGCCTTTTTTTCTAAAAAAAAATTAAAAAAAAAAAGGTAGAGAAAGAGGAAAGCACCTTTTGAAAGCCAACCTTCGAGTTGGTCCCTCAGTCTTGTCTAGAGAAAAACCGTTACACATATAAAGTCTTTCAACTCGAAAGGCTTGTACAAAGGGTTTGCAACCCCCAGGCTAGTCTCACAATACGGCATGAGTCCGTTTAGATCCGGTGTTTTGATAGCTTAATACTCCCTAGAGTAATCTCCCTCACGCCGCCACGACTTTAAGAGGTGCTAGAAAAACTTTTGCGACTACCCCTTGAAAGATCAGTGGAGATCTCCGTTGAGAGGGCTTCGGTAGTTTAGCCTCGGCATAATCCAACTCATGATGCCCAAAATGGAAGCTGGATGCAATGCCCTTAAGGGGATTATCGTAAGTGGTAAATATTATAATAGTACTCTTCCATTATACTCCTACCAATGCAGGGGGGTATCATACAGTACCCGACCGACTTCAGCCGTACTGTACATCTGTGGCTTAATCTGGGACTTTCTCCGAATCCTGCTTTTCCCATCAGGAGACCTTACCTTTTTTTTTTTCTTCTTTCCCATCGATAATGTTCCGGGTATGTTCATTCCAGACACAGAGACCCCGCCTTTGCGCGAGTAGCTACCGGCGACCAGCATCCATAATTGCTCCTCCTTTGGGGACTATCTGCTCCCCAAAGGAGGTCCCATCTACAGCCCATCAGATCCCCGACAACTGTTACGTTTCTTAAACTCCATCCTTTCAAGAGGTCGTACAGTAGCCAATTCTTAGACATCTTGAAACCACTCTTGCCAGGAGTGCACGGATAGCTACAGATCATACTCTAATGGGGGCATGAAAGTGCAGTGGAAGTAGGCATTCGCGGCCCTCAATCCCGGGTGCAACCCCCACCAGTGATCTTACACCTCGACCAGGTGGGACTATGATAAAGAACCTGGCGACTAAGCCCTTGTTCTTAACTTATATTAACACCGTCTAGGTCCTTTATTGTGAGTTATTATTGGGAAATCCATCACGTGGGGCAGAAGAATGAGAGATCCTGCCCTATAAGGAACTAGGAGAGTGAAGAACTTCGCCTTTCTCAATGAGGCTGTAAGGAAAATCAGGCATGCTACGAGGTGGGAGAATCCGACTCTATACTACGCCCCTATCATAAGGGCGAGGTCCGCGATCGGCGGGGTATGATAGCAGAAGGAAAAGAGAAAACAAGACGAGAACCATCGAAAAAGAAAAGAAAAAAGTTTTTCTGCCCGGATTTACGAAAGCAACTGCTGTCATACTCCAGAATGCTTCACAAACCTCTAGTGCATCGTACCAACATGGCTGAGCCTGTTTGTACGATAATGGTGGCAGTTGGCATCAGGTTACCCCTTCAGCACGGATCGCTTGTGTATAATAAACTAAGCATGTTTTCTTAGTGGATTCAAGCGTGAAATGTTACCATCGGCAAACAGTGAGCAATAATATAAACCCATATATTGGGCGCGTATCTTTGCCCCTAATACCCACTCACTATGGCTCTTTCCCTCCCTCCCTCACACTGAATAGCTAATCCCTGTTCCATCCTTACCAACACCCCCTGGACCCGATAAAACCCCCGGCTACCCATATCTCAGCGATACACAAACCCTCGAGCTCCTCATCCGCCGTAACCTAGTAGACATCCCCCCCCCCGACGCCCATTCTCCAGCGCTCCCCCGAGCTTGGAACAAGATTTTGCTGATATATATCCGTCTTCTCCTGCGGGATTGCAGTATGTTTCATGCTCGCCTTGTAATGGAACTACCGTAGTATCTAGATATGTTACTGATAAAGCCCAAGTATAGCTATTAGAAAAAAAAACAGGAACTCGTACATACATATTTTTTAGCCTTCCCACTAGGGGTGGCAACTGTGCAAACTAACAGACAGCCCTCCATGAGTATCTACGGTGAAGTAAGGATTTCCAGGCAAAATCCCCCGCAGGTTATTATAGACCCAGTTGTTGTTTCCTATATATATTAAAACCACATAAATCCTCTCAATACAGGATTATCATCCTTTCCTCTCCTTTTTTCCCCCCATGGGAAACCGGTATTGCAGCACCTGTATTCTTGACTGCACTACATCGACCCCAATTACCGGCTCTTTTTTTCACCCCAAATGAGGAAACGGAGAGGGGATAGTTCGGGAGTATTGGCAGTGGCAATGAGTGACATTGTGCGGAATCTCTGTAACCCCAAACCAACTGTAATACCAGACAACGCAAAGCCGAGACAAAAAGCTTTCACTCATGAGAGCAGCTTACCTAGGCGCTCCCAATTATATCACATGTGGCCTTGCCCTCTCGGAAAAAAAAATTATTTCCGCAACCTCTGCTGCCATGCCATAGAGTCCGGAAGCGATACATACCCTTCACACTCCATCCTAGGAAATCCTTCTGCCAGGTGGACAACCCAGCGTTGGACAATAGCCACCGCACATCCTGAAAAAAGCACCGGCACAGAACGCGAACCAGCCGGAGGGTAAAACCCAAGCGCGGCATCCAGACACACATTTGTATTGCAGATTTTTGGAGCTCCCACCTTCCCCGTCTCGCGGCTCGCAGGGGGCATAACCCAGGGGGTGAATCAGGAGGAAGATCCAATTACCGTTAGTCCCTGAAGCATACGAAAGAAGAGCTTGAGAAGGAAAAAAAAAAAAAGAACTACTCCCCCTCCGCATACATACCCCCGAGGTTCCAGGTCGTTTCCAAATCCTTGGGAGGCGGCGGCCCCTTGTGTGGTTGATATCGATCGTGGAGGCTTAGAAAAGCATCGCAGACTGCAAAACTCATTTCTTTATCATACCTGAATGTATTGCTCCCAATCTTGCGTTACAAATTTGGATCTTTGGATCTCTGGCTCCCGTTTGCGTGGAGCGGTGACTATCATCAAGAAGGTACCGGTAGGGGCCGTAGGGTCGAGTGAGGATTTATGAGTTACTTGCAGCAGGGTAAGGTACAGTATATTATCAAGGGGTATCATATTCCCCCGGAGACCGATTCTGCGGAAAGCCACCCGATAGCTTGAAAATATGTTGCCGGCATCATACTCAGGTCTCCTTTCAAATCCCGAGCGAGGCTGACGCCCGGTCACGAATCTGGAATCCCACCCAGAAGCGGTCATGTTTTGTCCTCGTACCATATAATACCGTATAATACTAGCTTTACCAAGCATCTTCAATCTTTGAATTTCCCGAATCCCCCCACACCCCCAGCACCCGAATGATATATAGCACAGCGTAGTCTACCGTGGCCCTGAGCCCCTCCTCAAATCCATCCCATGCGATGGGAACCCAGATTCACGATTGACAACTCATGATTCCAGCAATTTCATCCTCAAAAAAGCAAGCAATATCCAGCAAATACAATGGAACAAATTAAAGTAGAAAATATAATAATAACACACCACCAAGCCCCCCTCAAGTTATCCATGCCTCCCCCGTCTAGTACACACGATGGCTCCCTCGCCCATCAGTGCCATGCATACGCCTCGCTCCAGCAGCCTACGACACGAACTCCAATTAGCACCCACCTTCCCTCCATCAACCAGACCGATTGAAGAGGGAGATAAAACGTACCTTAACACCAGGCCGACGTGTCAAACTCCCCCTAAGCCTCATGAGAGCTCCCGAGATCTTGTCCCCGATACTCGGCCGGCGCCGGTGATGGTGGGCCGGGGCGGCTGCAGCGGTGCGGCGGTGACGGCGGGTGGTCCTCGGAGCGGTGGTGGTGGTGGTGGTGGTAACGGTTCTCCTGCGGGTGCGGCCCGTAAGACGGGAGAGTAGGGATGGCTTGACGGTACCGGTAGTGGTGGTGTGGTGGGCCCGTGTGGTTCTCATGTTGGGTTTTTTCTTTCTTCTTTCTCTTTTCTCCTCCCTTCCAAAAAGTCGTAGTATAAAAGAGGTGGAATACGAGTACTCGTATGATAGGGCAGTTTTCGCGCAGTCGGGAAACGCGTTTCTTGTACAGTACCGGTGAGAGGGTGGAAATTACCTCACGGGGAAGACGAGACCGACTTATATCACAAGATAGAATTCCTCCACGAGTTGAAGTTTGCTGGAAGGGAAAGAAGAAGTGAAGAAAAACCTGTATGTCGAAATTAACGTCAGGATAAACTAGTCGATACACACAGTGCAATACAGGAAGCTGTTCCATCATAATATCATATGATACACCTTTTTTCCTTCCTTTCCAGAAGTCGGCTCGTCGTTTCGAGCATTTCCTGAAAAATGCCTCAAGACCAGAGGGCGTCAACAAGCGAGACAAACGGGATGACGAATCAATCCATCGTCGTACGATCGAGGTGACGTCACAGGTATTTCTTGCCACACAGTAACGCTATTCTGCCGAAGGCAACGGCCAACTCTGTCCTTCCAACTCCAGTAATCCACAGTAGAGTGCTGTACGAGAACTTGTACCCGAGCGCGAGTACAGCGCCATGGACCCACTCCACCGGTAACTGCCCCTATTTCTTGTAGCAGAACTTGCGCTGCGGATTTCGTATTCCAGACTCAACTCAGCCCTTTTTCGCCACCATCCCCGCTTTTATCTTCTCGGGTAAAGAGTACCGTACGACGAGTACAAGTACTATCCGATATCCATGCCAGCCTATCAAGTTACAGTACAGTACAGTACAGTGGTGGATTTATCGACAGCGAGAAAAAGAGGAGGTCTCGTTTCACGAAGTCTCACACAACCCGATACCCGCACCTAAGCTAAGTTCATCATACGGCCAATCACCCAATCATCATAATATTATCATATCATGCCACCACTCCCTCCCATTCACGGATAGACCCAATTCTACTCACGGCTCCTAACAATCACCCCCAAGTCTCACTCACTCACTCACTGACTTGCCCGTTCGACCACGCCCAACAGGTTCCTCCTCAACTTAAGCGCTTACGCCCCCCCCCCGCCTTACCTTCCACAACCACCAGTACCCGTGCCCGTTACAATCTCAATTCATCACTACGATACGAGTCGCAGTACGAATACCCCCCACACGACCACGCGTCTATCCAGGGACAAAACGGCAACCGGCAAACACCTCCCGCGCCTCCTCCCCCATCAAGCCAAAATATATACGAGTACTTGTATATTGTGATATATAAATATATATATATATATATATATATTACACGCCCTATGTTTACCGGTAGGCCAAAAGTACCGGTGCCGTTCCCGACGCGTGGTAAAATAAATAAATATAAATAAAAAAAACTCCCATTTCCGGGTATTGCAGTGTATCCATACGAGCACAAGCACAGTGCGGTAATTTACTCACTGACTCACTAACCAAGTCCTCCAAAGAGAGAAGAGGGGAAAAAGGAGTATTGCCGCTGGCGCAGGACAAGACGACAACAAGCCAAAACGCGGGGATTACTCGTACTATTATACCGCACTAGCGGTTAGGTTGCGTTCGCCATCACCACACCATGGCAGCACAATATGCACAAGACGTCCAGTACTCGTACAGTACCGCCAGTCACTCCACACCAGGGGGAAATGAAAAAAATATATAAAAAAAAGGCGGCGTACGATAGCAGATACGATAACAAAGTACCACACTCTCCCGATGGTAAACCCAAGTCAGCCAAGCACAGTATATATCGTATCGTCAACTGCGCCCTCCGGTCGGTCTGCCTCCCGACAGTTAGTAAAAAAAAATAAAAAGGCGAAGGCGAAGGTAAATTGCACAGCCCACGTTTCTGGAGAGACGTGTAACGGACGTGCAGATCCGGGCGCGTGCTCGATTTTCGCGCTGTTGCGGGAGGTACCGGCCGGTCGGTGCAAGAGCCCCCTGGGGATCCTTCCTTCACCTGTGATGAATGATAGGTGTACGATATGTACGACCCCTGGAGGGAAGGGAAGGGAAGGGAAGGGAAGAGAGGAGTGTGATTGAGTTAAGCGCTGGGAATCAGATACGCACTATCATGAGATGTCACTCGAGGAATGTTTCTTGGGGGCCGAGTCGCTTGCCATACGCCCCCCCCCCTTTCTAACCACAGTTGTGATATGGTATGGCATAGTTGGCGTTTATGGGCGTTTAGTACGGCCTTGTGTGGTTCGGAATCATCATTATCATTCGTCCATTTGGATCCCGGAATGAGGTGATGATCCCCCCAGTTACGAGCACTGCAGCTACGTTCTGGAGATTCCTGCAAGAGTAGTACGGTATACTGCAGTGCTATATAAGTCGTAAATTACGGGGTGTATTCTCTTTCTGGGAATGCAGCTGCTATTGTACCTGCGATCCAATATAAAGTCACAATATATGATGAGACTGTTCTACGTCCAAGCGAGTCTAGCTGAACAAGCTAACCTCTAAGCTGCATTCTGCACACCAGTATACAATATCGGCACTTCTCAAGATATCCCCCGCTTGTGGTAACCAAAATGGTAATAGGTCTGTCAGCTACTAGTAGGGTACTATCCTCACCTATTGGATCGCTGCTGAGGGGTCAACAAAGGGTGCATATAAAACTCATTAAACATAATATGGCTCATATGGGTGCTAGGTCGTATGAGAATGGAAGAGAACAAATGGGCAGATGAATAGGCAGAGTAGAGGCTGTAGGAGGAGGTGGATAAAGGGTTAAAGATAATATTAACCTAGGAGAAAACAGGAATAAAGGAGCAAGGAATAGGAAATCAGAGTCTAGAAGAAAGACTAGTTAAATAACCTGAAGAGAGAAAGGAAACCCCTATCCTGAGTCAAGAAGCAGATCAAGTAAAAGACATGTTAGGAAAAGATGAGAGCAAATTCTCAGTTCAAATGTAGTTAATAAGAGATACAAAATATATAGAAGAATATGGTTTGTCTGAATACAGAGCTGTAGAAAATAGGAACTACACATTACCATACTGTCCAAAACGAAAAAGAAAAGAAAAAAAGGAGAAAAAAAAGATACGAAAGGAATGGCAGAATGGATATCTATACAAGAAAGGTTGGGCAGAAACAAAAGAAAGTATTTGAAGGGGAGGGAGGATACAAAACGGATAGTAGAATTTAGGAGACTAACAATATATGGAGACAGATTGGCAAACATCTATGATATGATCCCAAAGAAGCCTTTAGGCTATTCGGCTATAACGTTGCACCCAAAACAAACCCATCTCTCCTTCAGCCTTGGCAGATCACTAGAAACTGCCGGGATCAGGAACCCAGACTAGTCCTCAATATGAAATATTTCCACTTCAAAGGGCCCATCGAATATCGATATGGCCTACCAAAGAACTCCCTAGTTCTCGCACTTACCTGTATGATACTGTATCATATCATACCCCAATATCAGGCTATGATACAACCCCGCGGCTAATCCCCGGGGGGGCGCGCTAACCAAGATCACCCCAGAATCATATAATCCTTGGCAACCTCGACCTCACAATCACTTAAACTATCATACCGCATCAACCTAATCCCTCTCAAACCCCCCCCCCCCCCCTTAAAATTCAGGCTACCAGAGTATGATAACCACCACCTCCATGCCCCACTTCCACCGCGCCCCGCCAAAATACCGCACAACGCACCCTGCCTGGCCTTGTGCAATCATGGGGAACTTCATCCCCGCACTCTGCCTGCTCCCTCATATCATGTGATGCGGGGTTGTAGCCCAACCATGAAGCAACGGTACGTTAGAAGCCAATCGTAAATATCTAGACGGGGGGAGAGTGGAAAACGCACTCCCTCTCCACTGTCGATAGTATTCCCTCTATTCCCGCTAGCTAGCAACCCACTTCCCTTCAACCACTGCCACCCACTCCTCCGTAAAATTCACGCCCCAAGATGCAATACTGCACTGCCCCCCCCCACCCCCCAAGACCAAAGAAACCCCGCGCTAAACTTCACCGCGGCGGTCAAACACGGCGTCAATCCAACGCTTTAGCTCGACGATCGGACGCGTGCATCAACATCCCAAATTCCGGGGTCATACCATCCGAAGGGAGCAGCGGGCCTAACGCGCTGCACGGCGGGAACGCAGATAGCATGAGGCAAAGTTAATCGATAGCGGAGAGTGAGAAGGGCGGTGAAGAGCCAGTATCGGATCCGACGAATCATCCTCGCACTCAACCCCCCCCCACAGCACCGACACGACCCTTGCCACAAGCCAGTCTTTCAAACTCGGCCCCACGAGGCCGGACATGGACGATTGCTTCACACTTAACAAAGACCTAGCCTCGAATCCCACTAGAGACTCTCCAGCTCAGGCTGACCTCCTGTGCGAAAAAAGCTCCACAATCCGGACGCAAAGATCTATGCTATCGCCCCGATCGCATAGCCCGCATTCCAGCTCTACCCAGGCTATCGCGTAGATCCGAGTCGGAATGCGAATACCCGCGAATATAGATGCGCGGAGGGCAGGACGGTGATTAAGAGAGGGGGCTGTCCGGGTGTATTAGGGTATTCATCAAGTAGGGGGGTTGGAGGTCAATAGTACAGGGTATTACGACAGATTATATTCTTATATTCACATCATACCCACTCTATATACCAAAATTTCACGTTAGCGCATTCACGAAAGAAAGGGACCATCCACCCCCCTCCTCTCCAGGATGGAGGAGAGGAGATATGAAAGAAGAGATGAGAGGAAAGACGTCATATGTGATAGCTAACCCCAGACAAGCAAGCAGGCACAAAAACCTAAATCAAAAAAAAAAAAAAAAACGAAAAGCATCATAGGAAGTGAAGAGAGAAGGAAAAAGAAAGAAACCATAATTCAAACCGCTGTATATACTCCCAACCAGCAACCCCACCGAGCCAACCAGCCAAATCTTCACCCCACGAACCAACCAATCATAAAAGTGTGAATCAAAAAAAAAAATTGAAAATGAAGAAATACAACCACACCCCATCGCCCAGAGAGAAATCCCACTATATCCTACCCCAGGAAAATGGAAAGAAGAAAAAGGCCTCCATTAAAACAAAAAGGAGAAGAGAAGAGAAGAAAATAGTCATTTCTTACATAACCCTCATTGAAGACCCTCAATATTCAAATCTACGCCTTTTTCAACAGTGAAAAGAAAATGGAAGCGGCATTGCTAATAGTAAACGGGAAAAAGAGATACAAAAGGAGGAAGAATACTATATCAAGCCAGCAGACAAAATGAAACAGGAGTGAAAACAAGCAGAACCTCCCGACGACCAATGAAATAAAGTCCCATACACGCGAAATTAGGCTGAGAAAGCATGGTATTGGAAAGAGAGAAGAGAACAAAAAAAAAAGCTTCTCTCACTATCTCCCTTCGACGCAGAACTGTTATGAGCAGGTGGGAGATTGGTTGCTGGCAGGCTCGTGATCCACGATCAAGAACATTGAGCACAAAGTGCAGGATCGCTGCCAGCCACATAGTTGTAATTCTCGAGTTATTTGATAGCATCCCGTATTCGTGAAGTAGCCTCACATATCCGTGCTATCATTGCGATATATCCCACGTATCACTCGGGCAGGGTTTCCGGCTACCACCGTATAAGGCGGAACGTCCTGGCCAGTTGTTAGTCATAAGGCACGGGCAGATGTATCAGGGAGGATAAGACACGAACCCTCGTAACCACACTTCCGGCACCTACGACCGACCCCTTGCCTATTGTAATCCCGCCACTACCTCTGTCAGTTCTCTTGCTTCGCTCCATTGGCCGTTTGGATCATTTGCGGGGAACACACAGGACAATGACATTTCCGCCTAACCAGCAGTCCTCCTCAATTACCACTGGCTTCGCGATCTCTGGGCCCTTGGAGCCGTTCCGCTTCCGGGGATCTATTGGGTGGGTAGCTGAATAGATGCTCACATCCGGCGAGAGGATGGTCCGTGCTTTGATGGTTACCTGGACGGATTAGTTTCCACCTTTACCCGCCAATCAATGATAAACTCACGGAGCAACTATCCAAGATCGTGCACCCAGCCTCGATCAAAACGTCCCTCCCTAAGCTGATGTTGTAACCATAGCTGCAATTGAATGGAGCATCAACATGAACATCCACGATATCGCTAGGCGTGCCCGCATCGCTAGTGTAAGATATCTCCGGTCCCGCAAGACCGTTGTTAACCCGCGTAGCCTCCCACGTCCTTCCTGGTCGTAAAATCTGGTGCAGCAACCTTCCCCTTTCAGTATTGGAGATGCCAAGGTCAGGGTTTGTTGCAGCGTTGTTGAAGCGCCAGCACGCAGCCTTACATCTCTCCCGTTCCTGAACCAGCTCGGGAGCACCAGCAAAATATAGATCAGAACTAATCATCTTCTCCTTCTCCGAGCGTTCGCGAGGCACGGACGACCCGCTGGCGGCGGTTATCGCGGCCTGTGATACTGAGGCACGGTGACTGGTAACAGTGTTGTTGGCCGGTATCACCGGCTGCGGCACGACCGACACAAACGCCGGAAGCGCGGGTGTCTGAGGCATCTGCACCCTTAGGGAGGGATGAGAAGTGGTAAGCTCGGTAACGTTGGGCGAGGTGGACTCCTCTGAAACTGGCTTCTCCGGAACCACTGTGGGCGTTGTAACGTAAGAGTATTGGGGCACCCTAGTTTGCGGCGACTGACGTTGAGCTACCTCGTCTAGCCGGTGGGTTTGGGTTTGAGATTGCTTCTGCACGACGGCAGGCGAGGGGGAAGCGGAGGCTGAGCCCACCTGCTCCGTCTTGGATTGGATGCTCACCGGCGCTCCCGCCGTGCTAGGACTCCTGCCGGGTGGCTTCTGCCAGTTAATCTTTCCGGAATACCCCTCACAGACAAATCCACCACGTTTGCAATTGCTGCCTGCTAGAAAGTTAGTTCCATTCGGTTAAAAACGGTATGTCCCATATACGTATACTATAGCAAGAGCGATTAAAAATGGTTGAATGATTCGAATGGTTGAAAATCCAAACATAAACCAAACTTCGTTCAGGGAATAGGGCAAGGTTTGCAGGGAAATAATTCACTGGACAACCATCGGGATGGGCGTGTGGGGAGGAGGGAGGAATTGTGAACAAACATTCAGGTTTTCCCTCATCGCATTTCTTCTTCCTCCTCCTGCAGGTAATACAACCAGTCTTAGTCCTATTACTAAACACCCTCTTCCGTTTGCCCTGCCCCTGCTGCGATCCGGGTTGTGGTGAGCCCTCCAATGCTCCAGCCCTTGTGCCTTCACCGTCATTCAACTTTTCGTCATCCACCCCATAATTTCCACCGTGCTTCTCGTTCATATCCGCGTGTTGACGTTTGTGTTGGTGATTATTCATTCCACCGTGCTCCTCCGCGCCCAAAGCCGCCTCGTGAGCAGCCAAATGGTGATGCGTGGTTTGCGTGGTAGGGGTGACGGCCCGTTGATTCTCAATCTCTGGTGACCTCTTACGCTTCTGCGGTACCCCATTCATATCTACATCCACGGGACGGCTTCGTTGCCAATGTTCGTCTCCTTTCAATGGAAATCGCGGTGAATCAATCGTAGAGGTCGCAGAGCCCGGAGTCGGATTCATGTCCCTCGGGGCCTGTCCTGGCCCCAACGGCGGTAACTGTGAGCGGTGATTTGAATGCCCGTTAGAATTGTTGACAGCTGTAAAGTGCTGAGTGCCAGGTTCCTCGGTAACCTCGACAACAGAGAGCTTTCTCCCACCATCACTCCTAATCTCGCCCATGGCGAACGGGACCAAAATTGCGCTAGCTACGGCCGTGAGCTAAGCGTGAGTGTGCAGTAGCTACTGCCAGCGGAGCGGGAGTCTCGACCGGGAACGAGGAGGGGGGGGGGGGGGCACCGGATGTTATAGACGAAATGGAGGGATGGGGGTAGCCAGAGTCGAGGCGATTGGTAAGAGACCTAGTCAACTACAGAGCCGGCCTGATGGAACCACGAGAGCGGGAAACCCGTAGATGGTGGGGGGACGCGAAATGCAGGTGTATGTAGACGAAGGGGACACGAATTTTCCCTCCCTTTTTTTACCTTTTCCTTCTTTCTTTTACCTATTTCCCCACGAGAGGAAGTAGCATCCGCGGACGATGCGAGCACCGGGAAAACTAATGCTTGGTGGGGAGGTGGGTGTGAGGAGCAGAAGCTCAGAGTCAGAAGAAATGCGAGATGAAGAAAGGGAGAGGGAAGGAGGGAATTGCTCAGGTGGCTGTTGGTGCTTGCGTGGGCAGTAGGATCCAGCTCAGCGGAAAGGAGTGAATTGGGAGGTAGAAGGATAAGTGAGCGTGTGGAGTTGTGGGGATAGATTTGTATGGTTTAAAGGGTGGATGGATGGAACGGGGGGGGGGGGTTGCGGAGGTGAGCGAGGGTTTTGGTGGTGGTTTGTAGTAGTGGTGGGAGAGAAGCAGAGAGAGGTGAGGGCGCAGAAGTGGAAGCGGTGTAGACGCTGAGGGCGGGTATTTGGGAAAGGGAAGGCAATAGGCACGACGTGAGGCGGTGGACCAAAGAGGAAAGCACCAGCAGAATTTGCAATTTTCCGGCTCCGCGGTAGAGTGGCGGGACACAGCGCAAAAGCGTGAGCCTGATCCTGATCCCTAGTCCCCCAGTCCCCCCAAGCCCGGCCTAACTGCAGAACCAGAGCCACCACAGAAAAAAAAAAAAAATAGCCCACCATACACCCTCCTCACCAGCCCAGGCACTGCAGAGCCGGGAAAGAACTGGAAATAATTCGGAGCACAGTAATTGTTGCTCTAGGGAAATGGTGAAAGAGTATAGACCAAGGGAATAACCCTTCCCTTCTCTCCTTTTTCTTTTTTCCCTGTGCGTTCCTTTTTTCTCTCCCTCCTCCCTCCGATCTTTGTCCTGCCTTTCCATGTCTTCTGTGCCTTTCTCGGCCACAAATACCGTAGAACCAGCAGGTCTCACAATCCACCCCTCTTGCCCTACGAAGGGTACAGTAGGGTACGGCATTTTACCGGTTACAGTGTTATTCTCGCCTCCAGTGCTCCAAAGAAAGGAAAAAAATACGGACCAAGAAGAATACGGATGCGTATATACGCTTCGACTGAGACGCCCGTCCAAACAGTGTCCACCGTGAATGGATATGGTGGATATGGTGGATATGGTTCGAGTTCGGACCATATCATACCCCATCCCGCAAACAGTAACCCTCACAGCGATCGATACATCAATCGTTTACGACACCGCTACGTACTTGTTACCGCACCAAGTCACACCGACAGAATACTGCCGGTAGGCGAAGAAAGCGAGCCCAAGAGCGAACCCTCAAACCGACCCCCAAGGAACAGGGTGCCATGCAGCACTCGTAGATTCGACAAATGAAAGCAGAGCGCATCGGAGATATCAAGAATTTCACCAACAGCAGGGAGGGCGAAACAACCGCCAAAGAACCAAACGAGTCCTTTTCTCGTTTCATTCCTTTTTATCCATTTCACCTCCCACCGTCAGGAAACACGATGAATCGGAATAAACTCGGAATAAACTCAGAAAGCGGGCGTGTGACTCCAATACTGTCCGTGTGTTCGTCTGCCACATTCAATCCATTCCGCCTTCCGCCCCTCGCACCTTCAATCATCCAGTACGGTAACTTGTTGTCAAACCTCTGCCCGTTCCTGTCTCTGTTTTCCTGCCTTCCCCACTTTATCCCTCGCTGGACTTTTCCTTTCCAATTTTTTCTCTGCTCCCGCCTTTGTGGAAAAAGTCTACTTCTTAGTGCGCCAAACGCGGCTGAGGTGTGAGGAATCCCAATCCGTCCATTTCGCGCCAAAAACGTTTCGTTTTTTTTTCATTTTTCATTTTGGAATTCCACCATCCCCCTTGGCGACACGGACCAAGTTACTCGATTTACCGGTACCGGTACGGTAGGTAGGTCATGTAGGCCTAATACCCGATACGCGTTGGCGCTGCGCGAAAGACAATCAGAGACAAAAGGAATGTGGAGGAATAATAAAAAAACGGCTCCCATCCGAGCTGAGTGTGACGCTGATGGCCATTCGCCTACTACCTTCTCACTTTTTTTTTTTTTTTCCCCTCTCTCCTTGCGCGGTTTATTTTCATTTCCGGTACCCTTTTCTCTCAAATGGATCGCGAATGCGGCGGCAGATGCGGGGGGAGGGCCAGAGGAGTGTGTGTGGGAATGGAAAGGGGGGGGGGGGGGCGTAATTCGTGATGGGAATCAAAGAGCAAGAATCAGGAATCTTGTGAAAAAGAAAAAGAAAAAAAACATGTCCTCTCTCCTCCAAAAGGGGGACACCAAAAGGCGAAGCGTACCCTAGCGGTACAGTACTGCTCCGATAAGGGCAAGTGGACCTTCAGCCGTTCTTGGTCGTCACGTAATCGCTACACGAGCCAAGTAGGATTCCACAAAGTGACGCCGTTACTAGATATATCTTCCGGCTGTTCCTGTTTTACTCGCCGCAGCGTGAGTCGGCTGTCACGTCAGGCACTTGGAGGTGGATGGGCATGTATGGCGAGATGTATGAAATATGAGATACGGCATGTCGTGCCTCGTCCACCCTGCGCTACCACCATACGACCCCCCCCACCTCTCCCTCCCTCTGTCACCCCCTGTGCTCCCTCTGCTGTTCGTATCGTGCTGGTACAGTACAGTACGGCACTCGAGCACAATGGATATCACCCACCCCACTCCAGATTATCCTACACTATACTGGATTTGCCCAATACCGGTCAGTACTCGATGTCGGTCCAGTCAGCAGGATGAGTGAGAATCACGAAATCATGTAAGGTGTCCTAAAAGTCTCAAATAATGAGGGGGAGAGAGAGTAAAAATCACCATGTCGTAACGATAAACCAATATCAGAGAACAAACACACGCACACACGCACACACGCACACGCACACACACACACGCACACACATACACACATACTTGTACACATACACAGTACCGATGGCCCACCTTAGTCCTTGCGCCATTGGGGGTTTAATGAAGCCGAAGCCTTTCGCGAGTCGTCCTGACTGGTCCGGTAGTGTGGGATACCGTGCTCGTAGGGTACGAGTACTGTACGCCGCGATGGTGCCGCAGGGCAGTGTTCTTGTGATCCAATTCCTGCGTTTGAGGGATGGTCCTTGCTCGCTATTTTGGGTTCTCAGCCCGCATCACCCGCGACCGGTCCCCTACCTTCCTATCATACATACCCAATCGTACGCAAACCCATCAAACACGAGTATCATAACAATATATATTACGAGTACGATCCACCCCGTGGAAGAAGGGACGATGGACGAGGCAGCTCAATGGGTAAACGAATCAAGTCGGGTAGGTGAGAGGGAAAGATGAAAAATAGAAAAACCAACAATCCCTTTTCGAATCGAGTCGGGAAATCATCCTCAGAAAGGGGGAAGAAATGTGTCTCTTTGATGTCGAGAAGGCGGAATAACCGAGATGTGGGCAGCCGGGTCCAAGAGCAAGGGCGCCACCATGATGTCTGATTCGGCAAGCGCTTAGGTTTATTTCTGCACCCGGCGAATTAATTCCCTTCCATTTGCCTTCCCTCATTTTTCCTCAGGCACCATCCACAGATCCTCACACCAACCAGTCAGTCAATCAATCAATCAATCACCATTCCCATCGAGGGAGGGTCGCCCTCCGTCCCTGTCGGCGCTGCGCTGTACGAGTACGGTACGGTGCTCACTATAACTCACCCTCCCCAGGTCTGATATAGCAATTCGGGTATCTGTATTTAACAGGGACCATTGGATCGGAGACCAAAAATCGGTAAATAAAAATAAAAATATAAAAAGATAAAAAAATAAAAAAGTAAAAAAGACAGAAAGATCCCCCCAACACATCACCTGCCTCAGGCGGAATTTACTCTGTCATCCCCGGCCCCCACCCCCACCACCTCTCTCTCCTTCCTCCTCCGTTTCCGGGAAGACCCCCAGGAATAAATAAATGAAATGGTTTCCGCTCGGGAGTTGCGTCTGATTCTCTCCTTACTCGCGCACTCAACAAACCGTTGGCTGTAGTTTAGTGAACTGCCCGCCTACAGTGCCACAGCTAAGGCTGGCTATAGCGGTCGAGTGTCAGTCAATCAACCCATGCACACTAACCGCCAGTGCTTGTAAAGTCGACCCAGACCCCACCGAGCACCAAAGGAAAGGATAAAAATAATCACCCTCAGAACCCCCTCCTCAGAACCCCCTTCCCTCAAATTCACGGGTGACGCAGCAGCAGGAAAAGGGAAGAAGAGAAGAAAGCGACTTCAATCCGGCCGTGTGAGTATGTCATGATCACATTATTGTCATCTCTACACTGTACTCTTATCTATCTATTGTACTTTCCGAAAGGATAGTTCATGTCACCATTCCAGAAGCGTGTTACCCCCCTCGGCAATACCTTGCATGGACGAGGAGCGAGGAGGGAAAGTAGAGGGCAAGCACAATAGATTGCCGTAGTTTCCGGAAGATATCCGCCTGACGCTGCAAAGTGTGGGCCCCGGATGGAGTGTTGGACCGGTAGGGCGTGTGTGCGTGTGTGTCTTTCACGAGCGGCGGATATATCGCTGATTAGTGAGTGGATGGGTGGATGGGAGTGTACGATTGATCGTTTGATCGATAGGTGATTTCCATTGCCGGCCGGTCACTATTGTGGGGCCGGGATGGGATATCTTAGATGAATTGATGGACGGATGTGACCGCCTCCTGTGGGTGGGTTGTGTGGGTTTTTCCCGCCCTCTTCTTTTTTTTTTTTTTCTTTTCTTTCTTTCTCCCCGAAAAGGAGAGAAAGAAAAAAAATCCTCAGCCGGGAGCCCTATGGAAGTGGACGGGTGCGCGTGGTGGGTTCCCCAGATGATCCATGATCTGCGCGCGGTGCAGGTGAATAAGTGAGGGAGTGGTGGAGTTCAATAGCCTGACGGCGGTTCCGCCCAATTTGGTTTGCGCGGAATCGGGTGAAGCCAATTGCTCCTCTTCCCGGGACGTGCCATCGATGATTGATAGGGAAATTCAGCCTTTGTACGATACCGCAGTGTTGGTATGGGCAAAGGCTTGTGGCACAATACCGGTAGACCACTGCTACTTCCAGACTGGTGTGATGATTTGAGCAACAATTCATAGGACGCTGGAACCAATATCATAGCCTACTATTATAGGCACAGCCTGGCAGTCGGCAATAACGCTGGTAGCCACCGGTAACCACAGCACGAGTCCTACCGGTATCTTTAAGGCCGCTGCATTGGCTTCCCCGGACCCGTCTGAAATACGGGTACAGAAAGGTGGGTCTTCTGATTTTTCCTGCCTTCCCCGCCTTCCCACCTCCACGACGCTAGTAGCGGTAGCACGCTGTACGAGTA